TGGGTGACACCTTCAGAAATACATGGTCACCAACTTCAAACTCAAGGTCTCGTCTCCTTCTATCCGCATAGCTTTTCTGCCTGCTTTGTGCAGCACGAAGGCGTTCCTTGATCAACTGCACAATCTCAGAAGATTGTTGCACCAATTATGGGCCTAAAATGCTCCTTTCGCCCACTTCTGTCCAACAAACAGGTGATCTACACCTTCGACCATACAAAGCTTCAAACGGTGCCATGCGGATGCTGGACTGATAACTATTGTTATATGCAAATTCAGCCATGGATAAGTGTTGATCCCATGAACCCTTCCAATCTAGAACACAAGCCCTCAACATGTCCTCAAGTATCTGAATAGTTCTCTCAGATTGCCCATCAGTTTGAGGATGAAAGGCCGTGCTGAAATTTAATTGAGTACCGAGTGCCTGCTGTAAGCTAGTCCAGAAATGAGACAAAAATCTGGTATCTCTATCTGACACAATAGACACAGGGACTCCATGTAGTTTGACTACCTCCTCCATGTACATACTAGCAAGCTTTTCAATGGAGGTGCCAGTCCGGTAGGGTAAGAAGTGAGCCGATTTGGTCAATCGATCCACGATGACCCAAATGGAATCATTACCCTTTAAGGTTCGTGGTAATCCAGTCACAAAGTCCATGGTGATGTTTTCCCACTTCCACTGAGGAATAGGTAACAGCTGCAGTTTTCCAGGAAGTCTCTGATGTTCAGCCTTGACCTTCTGGCAAGTCAGGCATTGTGAGACAAATCTAGCTATCTCCCTCTTCATGTTTCGCCACCAAAATGTACTACGTAAATCACGATACATCTTGGTGCTCCCTGGGTGAATTGTATAGCTAGTACAATGGGCATCTCCCATAATCTCACGCCTTAAGGCATGATCCCTGGGTACACACAGCCTGTCACCAAACCATAGAATCTCATCATCGGAAATCCTGAATTCTTGCATGTAGGGTTCCCCGGCTCTTACTTTTTCCTTCATCTTCTGCAAGAAGGAATCTTTTTGTTGGGCAAGTTTAATTCTATCTATTAATGCCGATTGTGCCTTAAGAGCAGCTAGATAAGCTGTAGTGCTGTCCACTCTCAACTCCACATCCAGTTTCACAAGATCCTCAAGTAACTCCTTCTGAGTGGCAAGGATGCTAGAGGCAGTGTCAGAGGACTTCCTACTCAACGCATCTGCTACCTTGTTAGCCTTGCCCGGATGGTAGCTAATGGTCAAGTCGTAGTCCTTTAAAAGTTCAAGCCATCGCCTCTGCCTCATATTGAGTTCCTTCTGAGTGAAAATATACTTAAGGCTCTTGTGATCAGTGAAGATTTCACAAGTCTCACCATACAGATAATGCCTCCAGATCTTGAGTGCAAATACCACGGCTGCCAACTCCAAATCATGGGTAGGGTAATTTTCTTCATAAGGCTTTAACTGCCGAGAAGCATACGTAATAACCATATCTTTTTGCATCAAGACACATCCCAAACCCTTTTTAGAGGCATCACTATATATAGTGAATTTTTCCCCATTAATTGGAAGTGCAAGCACAGGAGCAGTGACCAACTTCTCCTTCAAGGTCAAAAAGCTCTTCTCACACTCTGGGGTCCACTCAAACTTGGTGTCCTTTCTGATAAGACGAGTCATGGGCAGAGCAATTCTAGAGAAATCTCCCACAAATCGACGGTAATAACCAGCCAATCCCAGAAAACTACGGATTTCTGCAACACTATTCGGCCTTTTCCAATCAACCACGGCCTCAATTTTCTGGGGGTCAACAGAACTTCCATCCTTAGTCACAACGTGACCTAGGAATGCAACATTATCTAGGCAAAATTCACACTTCTTGAATTTAGCAAACAGCCTCTCCCTTCTCAACGTCTCGAGGACTGTCCTTAAGTGCTTTTCATGAAGAGCATGGCTAGAAGAATAGACCAAAATGTCGTCAATGAAGACAACCACGAACTGATCTAGGTACTTGCTAAACACCTGATTCATCAAATCCATAAATCTGGCAGGGGCATTTGTCAAGCCAAATGGCATGACTATGAACTCATAATGACCATAACGGGTGCGAAAGGCAGTCTTTGGCACATCATCCGGCTTAATCTTCACCTGGTGGTAGCCAGATCGAAGATCAATCTTAGAAAATAC